ATTTGAGAGATGAGCTAAGATAATGGAAGGTAACACAGCGAGTCTAAGAGACGTGAACAAAGCAAACTTTCTCCATCCCCTTATGTTCTTTTCATGGTTGAAATGAATCATTTGCTCTCCAAACAGGAGTGCAAGGTCAAGTCTTTTCATTTTGAAGATGTAACAGTTAAGACTATTACATCTTTAAAGAAAATTACCTTGGTCACACCGGGTCCTCATGGTTCACAGAAAAAAACAGCTCCTCTTTTGCTGTTGCTATTGACAACTGAGTTTTGTGACACAGAGCACCACTCCATGCTGGGATGTGACACTTCACTGTGCATCTGAAGGTGCAGCATGGGCTGGTGAACGCTGCCACTGTGGTGCTTTCACCCTGGTAAAAGGCAGCTCTCAAAAACATTTCATCCTTGAAGCGAAGGTTCTGAACTCCCATAATGAGTCACGTCCCTGGAGAAACCAGCACACTGCACTTGGCCCCAGCATGCATCACTCCCACTGTAGTTACTGTTCTTACAGCGTCCTTTCCCACCAGTGTTCGGGGGCTTCCAAATTCTAAACACACTTGGGAGTCCATGGCTTTTAAACACTCCAGGTTCTTTACTGTCCACTAGTGTTCTGTGGGTAGCAATCCCTCCCCTTGATCTAATTGTCGTAGTTCCTTTTATTCTTACATTTGTAATGCCAGCCAAACAGAAGTGTGCATGCTTAATGCAAACACTGCCTGAGACAGTGCACCCATCTTACCACAGGTCAACAGCCAGCAAAGAAGTCCTTCCCTTCCTATAAATTGAACACAAAACACACAGAAGCATTTGCCCTTCGCTATTTTTGTTCAAGAAAACAGGGCAATGAGATGATCTCTTTGTTCAGTGAACCATCTCCATATAAATCCACAAATAGTTTTCAAAGTCACATCATACTGTACAGCTTGGGGCAAAACTCAAATTCTTTTTCACGCTGCTCCTCACTTGATGGCTCCATTTCCAATTCTTCTGCAACTTTCTTCTACATTTGCTTTCATGTTCAGAGGTAATGTATTTATATGGCCTCACTTTCATTTTCAGATTTAGACATTACTTCTTGGATTCAACTGCAAGTACTAAAGTCTACGCCCTTTCTACTGCACATTTCTGGTTCACTGACGTTCAGTGTTTGCATTCTGAAGACTGCGCCTATGATCTTCCCAGCTCAGCTGCACGCATACACTACTGCATTTCTGACTCACGCAACTGTTTTCAGAAAGGCCAAAAACCAAAGGAAATTGGAACTGTTCAAATTGTTTTTCTGATTAGTGTTCTATGGGTTGATTGACAACATATGCCAATCCATCTTCAAATCACCTCTACTTCTGCTAATCCATCAGGACCTCTCTTCATCAGGATCTCTTTCTTCTTTCTGGGGGCCTCCCATTGGGGTCCGAGAGGCTCTGGGTTGGGGGCTGCCTTGGCTTTCTGCATAGTAGCCATCCAGTGCCTCTTCTTCATCCACCTGAGGGGGTCCTCTCCTATTTTTCCTGTGGTAGAGTCCCCCCCCCCCTTTTATTTGTGTTTTTGTTTAGGGCGACAATGACATGCCTCCCTTACTTCCAGAAGCCAAACAGCTGCAGGAAAGGATCACTTGGCTGCACACACTAGAGATACCCAGAGGTCTAATGTCTCCTGTGAGGACCTGTTGGCCAACCCTTCATTCCCAACCATGTTCTCATGTTCCTGTTATCTGAAGCCTGGGGTGTTTCAAGTTCCCGAGCCTTTCTGAGGTGTCTATGTTCAAATCCTCAGAAATCTTGGTAGAAAGGAGGAAGCAGAAACCTCCCCAGGGAATTACACAGTACTGATCAGGCCATGCAGTAGGAACATACCAACCCCCCATTTCCTGTGGCCTCAACTCAGGTTGCCTCCATGTCTCACTGGGGTCACCAGGGAATCCTGCTCACTCTGGGGAAGCAGGACCTAGCTGTACTCGGGGCCATACCACTCTTACCATCTGGCTTCTGGGTTCGCTGCAATTGAAGCAAGAAGCGTGGTTTCTGCTGCTCCTGCCTGGAAGTAATACACTTCCCAGTGCACATGTCACTGGCCTTGCCTCCTAGGAATTTCCAGGGATGACAAATTTCCCTTTCAAGCCTCTCTAACTTGAAAAGGAACTGGAAATCCGGCCTAGCATGAGAATGTCCAGTATTACCAATGAATTCAACAACAATTTATTATCCTCACCTTCTGCTGCTGCTTTTCTGATTTTTATTGCCTTACTATCGTTTTAATGAAGTTTTAGGAGAGAGTAGAGGTGAGCAGCTAGCAGTCTGCACTACCATTCAGAGTAGCTCAGATCTCCTAGCGTGCACATGCACTGTGCTGGCTGATGTCAAAACAGTTGTCCCTGAATGGCTGTGCTGCCTGGAGACAGAGAGGCCAGTGAACAGCGACCTTTTCAGAACACATCATTCACTATCAGTATTTTTCAAGGAGAGGTTGGAAGAAAGTTCTCAAACATACCTAGAAGATAGAAAGTCCTTACTAGACCAAAAGCACATGTCTTATTGTCAGGTCTTCGGAAAATAATTGCTTTCTCTTGGTGCTGAGCATCTGTCATTTCAGTAAGGAGAACATGTGGTCGTGGATAACGGATCCCCGTTTCTCATTCTGTCTACTGCACCAGCAAACAATGCCTGCTTGTTCTACGTGTGCAGTGTTGGGGCTACAGGGGAGTGGGCAGGCCTGTCCAAAGCAAACTTAACTGTTAGCCATCACCTCTGCCAACTGGTAACATGGCTGTTCTCACCCTCCACCTGCAGTTCCTTTGCACTTTCTGATTTCGCCTTTTTTTTAAACACACAGTGGCCTTTGGAATAAGAATTTCAGGGCTCTCTGTTTCTGCAGACCATAACCACAGTGGTACACTCTTTCACTGAAGAAAGTCTCAAGTCTACAGCTCCTAAGTGGGTCCCTCTCTTTGAATCAGTGGTTCTCAATCTTTCATACAGTTGAGATCCCAGGGAGAATTTACGAATCAAACAAACAAACACACCAGACCAGCAGGCCCTGCCTCAGCACTGGGCTTCCAGAAGAAGGGTAGAGATCTGCATTCTTAAGAAGACTCTTGCAGACTGCAGACCACAGTATTTTTTAACGGTGCCTTTCCATTTTCTATGACAGCATGCGTGGAATGAGATTTCAGTAAATACTTTTCTGAAGCTGAGGTGAGGTGGAACAATACCATCAAAGGGGAAGCAAATGAAGATCTTCCCTATAAATATAGCATGGCAGATGAAATATGACCCACGGATCCAACAGCTTAAGGATGATGGGGGCATATTTTATGGCATAGGTTTTGGGCTTTGCTTTCTGTTAACCCTTCATACCCCGGTAAGCCCTACTCACCGATTCCTTAGCATCAAGATAAATTTCTGATGGTATGGGGTCCTGAGTATCATTCAAGATTTTATAATAAATTTTGTTTTGAGTGAAACATTACACAAGAGGCTTAAAGCGTCCTCCTAGTTCAAATGAACGAAAGCTGTCCTAGCCCCGCCACTCTCCTGGGGGCTCAGAGTGAAGCTCGGGGTCAAATGGTTAGTAGGTCATTGCAAGGGGCTGATGCAGCTAAGGATGCTGATGGAGGAGGCCAGTGTGCGGACCAGATAAAATGAAATTGAATTTAACCTCCTGGCCCTTCTCCATCCTCAAGCTCCATTTTAAAATGAAATTGCTTAGAAATTACGGGAGAGTACAGAAAAGCGAGAGTTAGAGAAAAAAAAAAAGCACTTTTATAGCAAGGTAGAGGGGCAAAGGTTAGGCTTCTTGATTTATTTTCAACAGACTGTGACACCTGAGCTTGGCACGGTCTCCAATTTCACAAATGGCAAATAAAGCTGTGGACAGAGGCGGCCCCAGCTCTGCCTGCAGCTCTTCCCAGAGAGGCACATCTGGTTTTAAATAGAAAACATGCCTTCTGTGAAGTGACAAAAGCTTACTGGAGTCACAGGGTATGTGGGTGTGCGTTGGGGAGGGTGGGGTGATACTGGGAGCCACAGGGTATGTGGGTGTGCGTTGGGGAGGGTGGGGTGATGCAGAGCACCTGGCGGGGCACAGGGATTTCCACTGAAGAGGCCACAGTGGCCGTCCAAATCTTTAGGATATGGTGTCATGGCAAAGGTTCTCAGATTGGGGCCCAGGGTCCAGAGGATAGCCGTGGACCCTGTTAGTTGGGATGACATTGAACCCTGCCATCCTAGAAAATAAAGGTTGAGAAATCTCAGAACCGCTTTTGACTGATGCTTCGGCCTACTGCAAAGAACCTTGTCTTGACTCTCTGATGCCTTGTTCATTCATGACAGGGCTGGATACAGACCCTCCACGGTGCCATTCTTTGCCTTTTACGTGTGGTTAGTTGAACTGCTGATTAATCAAAAGAAAGAAAAAAAAAAAAGACTTTGGTGGAGGTACTCTCCTTTCCCTGGTGCCCAGACACACCCGAGGTCAGGCTGGTCTCCGGTTAAAACTTGATTCAGATGCCCACCCCGTGCTAGGCCACCGTTCCAATCCCATTTCCACACACCTTGTTCTTTTTCTCACATGGGCTACTCCTTCATCTCAGGACCCCTTGAAGACCTTGTACTTACAGGATGGATGGTGTTTTTGCAAAATCCCCTCCAACTAATGCAGACTTGATACAAATTCTGGGACCCTAGTTCAGACTTTCTCAATGAGCACTAGGAGGAGAGTGTGGGGGTGGGCAAGGGCCCAAGAATGTAACTCTCAGCAAACCCTCTGGGTACCATCTGGAAAGCACAGGGATGCCTTGTGGGTCTGATAAGTGGGATCCACTCTTAATGCCCTTCTGCTGGCGCCGCACTGGGTGAAACTACTATGGGGAGGTGCATAGCGCCCCCACAGACCATTTACCAACAAAATCATTTCTCAAAGACTTGCAAGGCCACAGAGCTTCAAGTCTCCCCTCCCAAGGGCCTGGAGTCCAGCCAGCCCGAACCTGTACATACTTACATCTCCATCCATGGGCCTCTGGTCGTCACAATCCCTCGTGGGGCTAATGTCCTGGCGCATGACCCAGATGGGCTCTTTGGGTTCGTCGGGGGTGTAAGGCGAACGGATGGTCCTGGTTTTCACTTCTTCGATGGCCTCCTTGATGTCCTTGATGGCCAGCGAGATGGCATCTCTCTTCTCCTTGCTGTACCGCTGCCCAGCCTCACCGCCGCCCGGGGGTCCCATGACCCGCTGCTGCCCCGCCGGTGCTGGCAGCCCGGGGCTGTCGGGGTGTCCTCCTCCTGGAGTCGGGGCGCGCTCCAGGTCCTGCTCCGCCTCGGGCATGTCTTCGGCCGCCTTGTCGAGGCTCTGCGAACTCATGCTCTGCTTGACTTCGGCCACGATCTGGTCGATGTCCTCTTCCTGCTCGTAACTGTCCATGCGCGGGTAGGGCGCGAACTCGGCCTCCTTCTCGGGGCTGTCGGACTCGCCGTCCGAGCGCTCGTCGTAGTGGTGCAGCCGCGCGCCCAGGGCCTCTTGGCGGTAGGCGGCCGCCTCGTCGCGCTCCTGCTCGTAGAGCCGCAGGCCGTCGCGCGCGTCCAGCTCGGGCGCGTCCCCGATCTCCTCGTACACGTGCTCCTGGAGGCCGCCGTAGTCGGCGTAGGGCTCGGCGTAGGGCTCGTCCTCGGCGCGGTGGAAGAGCCGGTGCGTGTAGACGTAGCCCGAGTAGGCCGCGTTCATGGCCTCCTCGTGCTCCAGCGAGTGGAAGTGCAGGTGGTTGGGCAGCGCGCGCCGGTGCGCCGCCTCGGCGTGTTCGGCCTCCGCCTGCTCCGTGTACTCCTCGGCCTCGGGCCGGTACTGCACGGCGTAGGCGCTCTCATCCTCGGGGTCGTGCGCGCGCTCCGCGTCGTAGCCGTCGCGGGCCGCTGCGAGCACGTCGCCCTCGGCCGTGTCCGTGTGGTTGTGGAAGCCGCTCTCGGTGCTGGCTGAGCGCGCCAGGCTCTCCCCGCGCTCCTCCTCCTCCTGCTGCTGCTGCAGCTGCTGCGGCTGTGGCTGCTGCGCGCGGGGATCCTCGACGGCGGCACCGTGGCGGCCTGCGGGCTGCAGGGGCGCCTGCTGCTCCTCCTCCACCTCGGGGTGCTCCAGGTCGGCCTCCACGGACTCGTTCACCTCCCCTCCTGGCGCCTCGTCGGGCACCTCCACCTCCGCGGAGCCCTCCAAGTGGTTCATGGTGGGCGTCGGGGGCCGGGGATGACTGGGGAGAGGCTGAGCTGGCTCACTGTGCTCTCATTTTGCTCCACGGGGGCTGAAAGAAACAAGGAGAGAGGCTGCTGGGTGGTTCAAAGTGTAACTATGAGCTGAGCATCAAGATAGACATAAAACACCCGCTATTGATCCCTTCTGAATCTGGGTCAATTAAGACACGATTGCAAATTTAACCTAATCTGACAGTACTCTCTTCTTCACGCACGTATCGTAATTTGTAATTACATATTTACTTGTTTAATTGCTTATTGCATTCTCCCTCCCAGGCCCCCACACTGAGAGCTTCGCGGGCACTTTGCTCTTCACGCTATTCAGGTTGCATTTTCTGAGGTCTACGGATTGAGTATTACTCAATTGGATGGGCCACTTGGCATATTTCCCCATCTACTCAAGGATAAATCTCTCTAAACTAGGATCCTAGATACTTTAGAAAACTCTTCAAATACATTTGGGGGGTGGGCGGTGGCGTATATCATCTTGGAATCTTTTGACATCGTTGCTCTGTGTGTAAAGATGCAGCCTTTCTGGGGATGCTGGTAACCACCAATAGGTTCTGGCTCTTTAACCTCCAACAAGGGTTTATCTTTCTAGACCTCCACAAAGACACGAGGTTCTTTTCTTACATGTAGAACGAATCTCTACATGTAAGAATCTCTAGTTAATATCTCTAGTTGACTACCCTTGGGACCAGCTGACTGACAAGTAACTTTTCACTGTAAATACCCAAGGGGAGGAAGTTACAAAATGCAGGGTTTCTCTAATTCATTTGACCCAGAAACACTTTCTCCCTAGAAACCAGAGTATTGACAAATACACAAAGTAGGCAGTTTCAAGAACTTTCTCCGTGTGCCCTGGATCTAAAATTCTGTAATTCTGTGAATGCCATGACATTTGAAACTAGAGTCCATGGCTAATTTTTAGAAAGTATGGGTAGGGTAGGTCTCCACCTGTTTGTGAGGAAACTTCCAACTGTTATCCATTCTCCTCACAAAAGCAGCTTTTAAAGGACAGGGCTGATGGCTCCAGTGGGTGATAGCAATTGCTGTGAAGGCAGGAGGACCCAAGTTCAAATACTGAGCATGTGAAAAAGACATACATGGCTGTGGGTGTCTGTGACTCCAACACTGGGGGGATGGAGACAGGTGGATCCTGGGAGCTTGCCCACTGGCTAGCCTAGCCAAAATGGAGAGCTTTATATTTAAATAGTGACTCTGTCTAAAACAGTACGGTAGAGAACAATCAAGGAGGAGGGTGTTTGACATCCCCCTCTGGCCTCCAGATGTGTGTGCACTGGAATGCAAACCCCATGTGTACACATACCACTCACACTAGCTTTTAAGCCCAACCTGTACACAGTGTCTATAGAAACAGACACAAAGACTATAGTGAACAAGGAAACCAGGCAGGATTCTTTGGGTTTCCAGAGACCTATGGTAAAAGAGCTGTCATAGTTAGCTCCAGCTGTCAACTTCACACAATCCAGCCACCAGGGAAGACAGAACCCCAATTGAGGAATTGCCTAGACCAGAATGGCCTGATGCCATGTCTGTGAGGCATTTTTCTTGATTGCTAATTGATGCCAGAGGGCCCAGCCCACTATGGGCATGGCATCCCTAAGCAGGTGGAGCTGGGCTGTATAATAGTTAGCTGAGCAAGCCAATAAACGTGTTCCTCTGCGATTTCTGCTTCATTGTTTGCCATGTGCTCCTGCCTTGACTCCCCGAAGTGATGCCTGGAAGCTGTAAGGTGAAATAAGCCCTTCTCTCCTCAAATTGAGGAGAGTCAATTGGTCAGAGTGGTTTATCACAGCAACAGAAAGCTGACCGGGGCACAGGTTCAAGAGCATGTGTGGGTTTCTCTCATTGTCTTCTTTTCTTGTCTTTCAAACACGTGGCAGGATGTACTCTTAAATGTCACAGCCGCAGGCAGATAGGGGCACCCAATCACCTCTTAATATCAGCGTTCATTATACTCCACTCAATTCCCCACCACAGCCAGAGCAATTCCATCCCAACATTCCTGACAGACCAAACAGGAAAGGAGGCTGTGTTGGAGCTGTCCATCTACCTTCAAGCGGAGTATCACATCCTGGCTCCCACTGTGGTGGACCCGCCCCTGACTGAGTCTCATTAGAAAATAATGATGGTTTACCAATCCTAAACTACTGTCCCCTAATTGAAAAGAGTGCCAGAGCAGAATCAGTCTCTTCTGAAAAAAAAAAAAAATTGTAGACTCTTGTCATTAAACCCTGAGAACAGTAACTGGGGCCGGAATACAAGAATGTTTCCCCAAAATAAGAATAGCCTTCACGGAGGCTTTCACAGAAGTGAATGAAGTGGAAGAGAAAAGCGAACGTTGGTCCTGAGGCACACCTGGTTAGGGGGCCTCCAGCAGATTGTGGAAAATACAAAACAAATATCCAACACATTACAAAGTCACTGTCCCTGTTTCCTTTACTGGGGCTCAGATCCAGACAACAGACACCAACGCATTGCAGGGGCACTGGCCTGTGTACCAACCCAGTTCTAATGACCACGTGACAAGTTTCCACTGAGAGGAACACACCAGGCTTCCCTGGGTGCTATCGCTGTGAGGCATCCCGGCTGTGTGGGGTCAGTGTTAGAAACACAATGACCTGAATGGCTAGCAGTTCTTGATACCAGGTACAGAGCGGACAAAGGCACTGTTTTCTGTGAAAATGGCCTTCTCTATTCACAGAGGCATTACAGCACCGAGTTAAATTGTATCTGACTAGCAGATACATTGATTCAACCAAAATGGAATTTTTTTTTGTACATGTGCATATACCAAATCCTGACAAGGAAAGTTCTTTGTGGAAATACTATTCGAAGCATGTAGTTTGAGTATAACAACATTTTCCTCCCATTAGAGAATACGAGTGATATAACATTCTCCCACATTTAAGTCTGTAGACCTCATTGGCCTTTATTGGACACATGCCAGACATTGTATAGGGCAAAGGGGATTCAGACGTTTCTAAGACAAGATCCTGGCCTTCAAAGACAGATAGCTTCAATAATTATAATACGTGGTGATGAATGCAAAATAGAAATAGGTTCAAGACATGGAAGGAGCCCATAGTGAAAATAGTGGAGGCTGCTATGTCACCTTCTGGTCCCATAAGTGCTGTGGTTCTGCATTTCATGAGCTCACCAGCATCCAAGAGCTCAGGACTACCACCCAACTGGGACCTTGAGAGTGGTTCAGGCACCTCAAGAGGCGGAGCAAAGGGAGGAGGAGGAGCTGGTGAAAGGAAACTCCCCTCCTCTAGCTGTGAAAGGGCTGTGGACCAGGGAGATGTAGGCAGGAAAGTCTCTCTCATCCTTGGGGGCACCTACAGCATGAGGAGGGGCGTGGCAGGACCCAGAGAGCCTGCGGGGTTCCAGTGGGGAAGCACAGACCACTTCCGGTTCCCCAGTCAGGAATGTTCCTTAGCCTGGAGAAAATAAACAAAAGGAAGGCATCCCACTGATGCAGAATGTTTAGAACACAGAATTTCATGACTCAGAGGCCAAATCCACATATTTGTTATTGTTGGCCAAGATTCTTATTACTTTGAGATTGATAGAAGGGAAGGCTGTATGTTTACGTTCATTCATGTTTCCTTAACTTGTTGCCAAACGTTGGCAATTGACTGTTGTGTGTGTGTGTGTGTGTGTGTGTGTGTGTGTGTGTGTTATTCAAAAATAGCTTTAGAAGAAAGGTGTGGCTGCAGACAAGACAGAATGTATAAAAGAACAAAAGCCAGGTTGTAATATCCATATTATTCTGTGTGTGTGTGCATGTGTGTGTGTGTGTGTGTGTGTGTGTGTGTGTGTGTGTGTTGTCAAGAGTGGTGATAATCATGCAGATGTATGGAAAAAGTTAAAAGTGGAGTGGGGTGTTGAAATGAAAAAGAAATTTTGATTCTATTATATAGGAGATTTTATATATGTGCTCATTTAAGCTTTTTATGCCTGAGCCCAGGTGCCTCTAGGAAAGGGCCAGACTAAACTTTTTTATTTTTGAGACAGGGTTTCTCTGCGTAGCTTTGCGTCTATTCCTGGAACTCACTCTGTAGCCCAGGCTGGGCTCAAACTCACAGAGATCCACTTGCCACTGCCTCTGCCTCCCGAGTGTTGGGTTTAAAGGCGTGCGCCACCACCGCCCGGCCAGACTAAACTTTCATCCTTTCAAGCTTAATTTACCTTCTTGTGCCTGCTCAGCACAAGTGGCTGGGTCCATTCAGCCTTAGTAAACTCCATATTTATACATCTACCTCTAAAGCATTTAATGCCTGTTTTTTTTTTTTAATCTTTCCCCACTGGAGTTGGCAGTCAAGTCCCACTTCTTGAGACTGAAGTCTGCCTTAACACCCACATATAATATACTATTTCAGTAATATGATGTCTGTCAGTCATGGCAAGGGCAGCATATAACCCTGAGGTAGATTAATGTCCATAGCAATAAACAATTGTGGTTACTAAACAGGATTATGCCTTGGATTCAACACATGTATATGTGTGCATCCTGTATATGTTGAGGTTAATGGTTCTTAGGTGTGTGCTCACACTTACGAGTTCATATGTGTGCAGGTGTGCATGAATATATGTGTGTGTAGGCACACAGAAGCCAGAGGACAACCTTGGTCTTTCCTCGGGTGCAGTCTATCTTTTTCTTTTCTTAAAGACAGGGTCTCTCACTGACCAGGAACGTAGTCCAGTAGGCTGGGCTAGCTCACTAGTGAGCCCCGGTGATCTGTCTGTCTCTGCTTTCTCCAGTGCTGGGATTGCAAGTGCTCACAACACCACACACAGCTCTTTTTAAAATACAGGTTTTGGAGATCAAACTAACGTCCCCTGGGCATCCTCCCCAGCTCCTAATGTTTCTCCTAGTGCACAAAGGATGAGAAAGTAAGAACACACATGTATTCCCTCCCTGATAAACCTTCCTCACTCCCTGAGTTAGATAATGGTGAAACTTCTGACAAGGAGTTTAAAGGCTATCAAGAGCCTGGGATGGCCAGCTCCTTTAAATATA